AAAAAATTATATTATAACCATTGAAACATTGAGACATTTTTCTTTTAGCTCCTCATTTCAGAGTGAAGCATAAACTTTTAGTCAACTGACGCTTCAGAAACAGTTCAAACATTTATTTACTGGCACTTCAAATTTCAACAGTCTAATTAAAAAAGGAGTAAATGATAAACATGAWGGCACCAAACCTCAGCTGAGATCAGAACATGTTTTAAATAAAAGAGAAGCAGCAGGTTAAAAGAAACTTTAACTGGAGCACGTCGGTCTGTTTTCGGTTTCTACTCAGCAGTGAAGCTGCAGTAAATCCCCCAGTGATCACTGGTGTAACGGCCACAGTCCAGCTTCTCCAGCCCCACCAGAGCCAGGTGATCAGGGGCCAGGTGTGGGACTCCTTCTTTGGTGGCTGGGCGGAGGTAGATGCGATCGAAGCGACAGCGGCTGACGTAGGGAACAGTTTTGTTGTTGTTAGCTTTGGTGTCCCAGGTGTAGCGGCAGTGCTCCTGTTTGCCCAGRCGCTCCCACACATCACAGACGCTGGAAGGCAGGCCCACTTTGGCCACCTGACAGAGAAAAACACAGCTAATTTTATTAAAGGGGGACTGAAATCGTACGTTTGGAGTAACTGGAAAGCCCTCGACGGACCTCGGTGTCCCTCAGGTTTGTGTCCCCTCCAAACAGGATGTTGATGTCATCAGGAGCCTTTTTCATCCTCTGCATCAGCACCTGCAGCTGTTTCATCCGCTCTCCTGCGTGGCCCTTACAGCTTTCAAGGTGAGAAGTCATCAGACACAACTTGTGGCCTTTAAAAGTCACCTGATTTTAAACAAACAAACAACAATTACTTCTGTCACATTCAGGCGAGCCAAACAAACGTGATAAAAGATGAAGAGCAAACCTGAGCTACAAGCAGATTCCTCATCATCTGTGTTGTGGGGTAATTCACAATCTCACTCTCCAAGAATTTGACCCGAGACTTTTTCAGCATCATCCCAGTGAAGTAACCATCTTCCCCGGCTGCTCAGGACGAGTTCAGAGGTGAGAGAGGTTTTAAAAAGCCGTGCACACTACCACTGAGTAAGTTTTAGTGGTACACAGAAGTCAGCATGATCACAGTTTAAAGAAGRTTTTGTTTTTAAATCAAGAAGTCAGACAAAAAGTGACTCAAATCTGCAATTAATTAAAGTAAAATGTTGCCATCTTGACTCAAGACTCTAAAAATATAACTGCTCAGTGCATCCTGAAATAAGGCTGGGGTTATTTCATTGACTTTATTTTAACACACTCAAAGATTGTATTTCCTTCAAGCCATTAAAAAAGCGTTTTGAATCAGACAAGCTGTGTTTGTATAAAACATAAATACACCCAACTCAGTGACAGCAGATGAGATTTCCCCCCAAAGATTCAGCTGTATTCCTGACACACGCTAATTTAAAACACTCTGGTAATAAACATCATTTTTCAGGAAACGGTTCAACAAAAGGTCATGGTGGTGTCGTGTCTGACAGTTCTTCTCTGAACATACTTTACCTTCAAGGATCAGGTAGCTAACAGCTCGTTTCTTTAAGTACTGGACGTAGGGTGGGATTAGCTCCTGTAGGAACACCACGTCTGGAGTGTATCTGTGTGAAAAGAACCACAGAGGATGTTATCTACCTGAGAACTCAGGAYGTTAGTCAGCTACGATCAAAGCTTCATATCTGTTCAGCAAAAAATGAAAGCTCCTTTTTCAGGCCTGAATTCCAAAAAAGTGACACATATTTAAGTAGAACACTCTGTCCTATTTGTTCACATAAACCCTGGCGGTGATGCATTTTAAAATGAACATTGTGCTTACAGGACTAAATAGGAGCAGAGGCCTCTGGCTCGCTCTGCAAGGTTGTCTGTGTCGAGTCCGTCCACGTTCCAGGAGATCAGAGACAGCTTGCTGTCATCTTCATCGGAGGGTTTCTGCACAGCTGGRCTGTCTTTGGTTAAATCGATGCTGGAATTGATTTATTTTAAAGAGAACTTAAAGTTGTGACACAGAGACATGAGGGTGGACCGTGAAGACAGGAGACTTACCAATCTGAGGAGGTGGTGTTCTCAGTCTTTTGCCTCTTCTTTTGGGGGGAGCTGTTATTTTCTTCAAAATCTTCTGCACATATTCTCTCCATGTCTGCTTCAAAGAACGAGTTCAGAGCTCTCTGAAAAAAAAAAAAAAAAAAACGACAGTAAAAATTTACATTTGTTTTTTTAAAGTAAAACGAAACAACCTGAAAGCAGTAGTTTTTGTTACCCAGAGTTTTACCCTAATCAGGTAAACAAGCTGCAGCTGTGCTGACCTGCTCCATGTCCACAACATTAATGAGTTGTTTACTGTACCTCCATCTCCCAGTCATTCTCAGCCAGGTAACACTGAGCCACGGCGCTGTCGGTTCCCGCGACCGCAGCGAACTCATCGCACAGCCGAGTCCTGCCTTTCTCCACGTCAGGAGCACAAGACGGAACATCAGAGCCTGATGTGGAGGCCATCTCTCCAAATGCAACACCTTCTTCTTCTTCTTTAGGTTTTAACGGCAGCTTGCATCCATTAATGTTGCTCTACTGCCCTCTATTGACTCCTTGAACTACACCTCAGATCCTAGTGTTTTTTTTTTATTTTTAAAACGAAATATCTTCTTTTCCCCCTCAATATTATTCAGTTGTTCGATCACCTTCTCAAATTTCAATTCCCTACAAACACCTAGTTCGGTTTTTAATAATCTTCTTTGGCTTGCATATTCCCCACATTTAATCAAAACATGTTCTACTGTCTCTACATCATCACACCATCTACATAAACCAGTGAGGTGTTTCCCCATCTTAAAAAGATTTCCATTTAGGAAACTGTGCCCGGTTCTTACTCTATTTATAATTATCTCCTCCCTCCTGTTTATTCCTCTGATCCTTTTCTACATTGACTGTATTTTGAATCCTAAATAAATGTCTTCCCTTTATTTCATTTTCCCACCCAACTTCCCATAYCTTCTTGCTTTCTTTCCAGATTATACTTTTGCCTTCAGATTTAGATTATTTTATTTGCATATCAATATCATCTTTTTTTGATCTCCTCCTTAGCCAGCCTGTCTGCTCTTTCATTCCCCATAATACCAACATGAGCAGAAGTCCAGAATAATACAACATTTTTATTTTGTTCACATAACCTATGATGAACCGCCATAATCTCATATAAAATATTTTGATGATTTTTTTGTACGTCCCTTTCCGATACTCATCAACGCAGATAGAGAGTCACTACAAACTATTATTTTATTCCTATTAGTTTCCTCCACCCATTCTAAAGCTACCAAAATAGCACATAATTCTACTGCGAATACACTCAAATAATCAGATGCTCTTTTTGAAATACTAATCTTTAAATCAGGAATCACTATAGCTATACTGGTTGCTTCACTTTTGGGGTCTTTCGACCCATCAGTATAAATTTGCAAGTAGTCATTATATTTATTCTGCATTTGATTATAAAATTCTTGGCAAATGTCTAGCGTGTTCCTTTTCTTAACATGTGTTAGTGTTCTGTCTACATTCATATATTGCCAAGTCCATGTAGGTCTCAAAGGCCACAATACAGTTGGACTAAATTCCTTATTATACACATTAAAAATGTTCGCTCTATCATCACCAACCCACCCAAAACTATCAATTTGTTTCTTTCCTCTTTCCCAACACTTTTCTAATACTTTCTTAACCGGGTGATCTGCATTATGTCCTTTTAAACTTATCCAATAATTGACCATTAGCTGCTGTCTTCTCATGCATAATGGTATTTCTCCTGACTCTACTTGTAAAGCACATATTGGCGTTGATCTAACTGCCCCTAAACTAATTCTCATTACTCTGGCTTGAATAACGTCTAACTTTGTTAACTTAGTTTTGGCTGCTGATCCATACACCACACATACATACAGAGTTTTACACGAGAAGCTGAGTTAAGTGCTGTTTCTTCTTATCTTTATTTGCACCCATCCTTCTCTTTTATGCAAGTTTGTTTGTTTGTTTGAAATACGCCTTATTGTTTGTACATTGTATCATTTTGTGTGTTCTTTGTTGNGGATTGTAATAATTTATTATTTTAATATTCCCATGTTTTGTCCAAATTTCTACAGCAGTAAGCTCTAAATCAGATAATATTTGGATCTGTATAAATTTTATATTTTCTTTTATGAATATGGCACAACCTCCTCCATTCCCATTTATCCTATCTTTATGTATAATTGAGTAACCATGAATACTAAACTGCAATGATGGTTTGAGCCATGTTTCTTGAATGCATATTATGTCTGGTTTTGTGTTTAAATTACTAATGAAACCTTTAAATTCCTGACCATTTGCGAATAGACAGCGAGCGTTCCACTGTAATATTAGAATTATGTGACGGTTTGAGAAACTTCAGTTTCAGAGGACCCTTCACCTTGTCTAAGTTCCTCATGAGTTTTTTCCCCAAGATAAATCTTTGACAATAAAAAAATTTGTGGCTTCCTTCATAATGATTTAAATTTTTCAGTTTTATTTTTTGCTTGTTCTGAGCAATTTATAATATACGCAAGAAAAGGAATCAACTTTTCTAATGTTATATTACATTGATTGATATCTGCCACGTCCTTCCTTTCATTACCAGTACTTATTTTCGGAGTATTATCATTATTTTTCACCTCTTTTACAGTTTCAGCATATGTAATTCTCTTCTCATTTTTTACTTTTTGAATTTCAGCTGCCTGTTTTCTTACAGTGCACCCTGCATATGCTGCAGTATGATTTCCTCCACAGTTGCAACATTTAATAGGATTATTTCCACATTCACCATATGGATGTTCGCCTCCATATCTACCACATCTCTGTTTTCCTTTACAAACTGTTATGGCAATATTTATTTAACAAAGACAGAAATACGTGGTCCAAGAATGAAGGTACTCCGTGGGATGATCAGCTGAGTTTTATTGCAACAACAGGAAACACAGACTCTGGCCTGTCTCTGTGCCTCTGCTTCTCTCTGTCATTCCACACTACTGTTGAACACTGTGTCTCGAGAGGCCTCATATATATATTAACAAACACCATTCTGTCATCTTAGCAAGATTTGATACAAGGTCAATGGAAAACACAAAGATAAACACAAGTGATATCTAAGAATGACTGTTGTTAGCAAATCTTGTTCTGACTTTAATCATTCTGTCTGCAGATGAACAGCATGTCATGAAAACCTAGGTCATTAAAGGATGTCATGAATTACTTGCTCAAACACAAAAGTATTAGTTCTATTACACAAACGTTTGCGGTATGTCCATATCTTTGACATTTATAACATCTGAGTGGTGGTGGAACATAAGCCCTTACATTAAAGCTCATGTAACCAATCATTACTTTATCTGGTAGAATCCTATCTTTAAATTCCAGTAGTACAGATGTACTATCAGTTTTCTCCCTGTTTCTAAAAGCCTGTGACCTTTTGATGCCTGTAATTTCTCCTCCTTTGATTATTTTCTTTAGCTCATCCAGATTTTCTCCAACAGGAATTCCTAATATTACTCCTTTTTCTTCCCCAACAACCTTTCTTTCCAGAACTTCTTTTTTTACACACCATTTGTAGTTTTAGAGCCTTATTCTTTTGTTCAACATTTTTACAAATGATAAGCAGGCTTCCATCTCTTAAAACTTTAGCTAGTTCTACTTCTCCAATAGTTTTCTTTAATCCATTAGATAAACTAACAGGGCTCACTCCAAACAAATCCTGTCCAACCTTAAACTTTAATATAACTTTAAAATCTTCAGTCATTGCTTTCTTTCTTATTTCAGTTCTTTCTTCCTCATCCTCAAGAGATCTTTTTCCAGTTTTTATTTCCTTTTTTACCTTTTATCTCTTACCCCTCCTCCTTTTCTATTTTCTACCATAGACCATCCTGTATCCATATTCTCATCCTCCGAAAAAAAACCCACTACTACTTGCCATCTTGATCCACTCACAATCCGGATTATGCCAAAACCACMTTTGAAACCAATTAACTTTAAACAGAATCCGCCAAGTGTTAGCAGCTGTCCGAGTCACCACCTTCCAACTCTCCAGAGTTTTACACGAGAAGCTGAGTTAAGTGCTGTTTCTGCAATTAATTCTTTTTTTTCCCAAATCTTTTTTGGGTGTACCAGCAAAATACGTCCGGGTGGGCAACAGAGTCTGACCAWGAAGAACACTTTTTATTGTTATATTTCTGTGTTTAAATATATTAAGTAATTTAGTTATAGTGCGCGCGCTTACATTTTATTAAATTAGCAGTTTAATTTTCCGCAAAGCTTGAATATAAGGTTTTCTGTGCGTTATTGGCATTTTGTCACAGACCGGAACTATTGAGTTAGAGGTTTTAATTTCCGCCCGGATGGTTTTCCAGACGCAACAGCTTCCGGTGTCGATCGAGTTTTGACGTTCGTCGGTCTAATTTTTCTGCGTTAACATGRGCTCTCTGACTTTGAACTCTTTGAAACAAATAATGAGAGTAATGGTGGACAACGCGGGCTTTGACCGAGTTTTGAACAAGGTAAATATTTATATTTTCTTAATTTACACATTCGAATACTAACAATTTGTTGGTTTACACAAACATGCAACATCTAGTTGTGTCCGTAGTGTTTCAGCGTTATGAACACTTGACACGTTTTCCTCAGGTGAATGTCATGTCAGCCGGCCCGGGTAAGGTGGTGTGCGAGCTGCGGGTGGAGGAGGAGCACACTAACCGGGGTGGGACGCTGCACGGCGGGTTGACAGCTACTTTGGTGGACGTCATCTCCACCATGGCCATCATGAACAGTGAGAGGGGAGCCCCCGGGGTCAGCGTGGACATGAACATAACGTGAGTCCGTAAATGTCAATCATGTTACAGCTCACACCACTGGTAAACTCAATATTTGTTCAGCTTTATTCTATTTTTTTTTTGTAAATGTTCCAAAGGGCTTGAATGTGCTCAAACATTAACGTAAATGTACCTCATAGTACTGACACCCAATGTTGTCTTGTAAGATTGGAAATGTATCTAATAAAAGTTTTWAAAAAATCCCTGTTACAGGTACATGAACGCTGCCAAGGTAGGGGAAGATGTTCTCATCACTGCACAGGTGCTCAAGCAGGGGCGAACGCTCGCATTCGCCACCGTGGATCTGACCAGCAAAGCCACTGGAAAGCTCATTGCTCAAGGAAGACACACAAAACATCTGGGCAGCAGCTAAAATCTTTTCTGCACTTGCAAGTCAAACGTGTCTGACTCTGTACTGTCAAAACCTGGGACACTGGGTGAAGATATAAGCTGCTTTCTGAATGTAAATAAGTTTGAAGAACAAAAACTGTAAAATTTGCCAAGTGCTACAACTCCATCTTCACAACAACTTGTCTTGTGTAATAAGCAGTCAATCCCGTTCCATTACTCGTTGATTTGTGCACATGCAATAAAGCAACTGGACAAAGAGTTAGGCTTTCAACATTTGCACTGTATTGGGATATGATCAGCAGTAATGATTTGTGAGCCAACAGAAAAAAAAAAACAAGCCTCAACACCCTTTCAAATCAAAACACTAAACCTCAAATTTGTACATACTATTTTACTTGATGGTTTTTATTAAGCAAGCTGGCAAAAACATTTTAATTTAACGAGCAGATTGTAACTTTAGTATGTCGAATTAAACAAATTAGTTAGCTTTTAGCGTGTTAAACAAATTTGTTACCATTTTCTCACCAACCCATATCCCCCAAAAAATCAAAGCATAAAACATCAGATTTCAGTAGCTTAAATGAATAGTGCATGAACAATTTGAACAGTGAAAATCAACAACCAACATTGTGTACAATGCCTTCCAAGACACTCGATTTGAGCAAAAAACCTGCCTAGTATGGTTCAGATTAAAGCAAATGACACAAAAACATTGGAAAAGTCCAGCAAAATAACTAAGGCGATTTATAAGCAACACCTACACCGTATGATTTGACAAGTACTGTTTGTCTCATCTTTGCTTTTCGAGGCGTTTGAACACCTAAATTACACCCATCCCTGGTCAAAAGATTGTATAAAGTTGTTTTAGAAATCCCAGTGACATTACAAGCTTTAACAATCCTTCCTTATGACACGGATATAAGACATGTCCATCTCAGAACCACCATGAAGACCTGTGTTTGTTCCTGTTTTGATGCAACATAAAGAGTTCATTCAGTGACYGGTGCTGTTGGCTCCAAGAGAACAACCAAACACTCAAAATCAATGTTCGTGCAGGTTTGAATGAACGTAATGGGAAAAAAATAAATAAAATAAAAGGGGTGAGTGAGGTGAAGGGAATGAGGAAGGAGAAAAAAAATTCAATCCGAAAAATGTCAAAGATTTGGGGGGGAAATGGGAGCGTGGAGGGGAGGAAATTAAAAAAAAAAAGATTGGGGACTGAATCAGTGTCAGGTCAGGAAGAGGAGAATGAGCGGGGAACAAAAAGGAGATCCAAGCACAAGTTCAAATCTTTTAAAAGGGAAAAAGGAGGAGATGAGGACATCAATTTGCTTCTGAAGGTTTAGGCAGGGAGGGGGGAAGGCTCTTCTCTGTGTGGCTGGGTGAAGCACAAAGCCTTAATCAGGCATGTATGGGCGGAGGTGATCCTCGACGTCTCCCACACCCCAGCAGGTGAGCTGGTCCTGGGGCAAGTACAGGCACAGGCTGCACAACTTGAAAACTGTGGCCTTGGCTTTAGGAGTCTAAAAAAATCAACAACAGATTTATGAACAAAAGCACCAGAAGGTTGTTTGAGTTTTCAACATTTTCAAACAATTTCAATCATTTCTGCGGACTGCTTTTTACCTGTAAGTGTTGTCTATCCATGAAGAGGAATACAGACTGGGTTGGGTTGTTCATGACCATTCCAGCCTTGTCTTTACGACCCAAAGCGTGCAGACACTGCTTCTCGTAGTCTCCATGATGAAATTCAAACTTGGCCTGCACATAAGAGGAAAGACTTTTAAAATCTATTAATTCTTTTAATTGTCTTTACTCAACGTATAAACTTATTTTAATAAACAAAAATCTCCCAAGTTTTATTTGCCGATTACTGTGAAAAAACACGCAATGAAAGTTTTTTGATAAATGCCTTTCATTGCTGATTATGAAAACAGATCACCTGTCACCATCTGTGAGAGCGATGCAACAACAAGAATCCCTCGCATAAATAACGTTATAAAGCTTCAATACATCGACTTTAATGTGGCATTTAAAGAACAAACACTTGGAGTATGACGAGGTTTCRAGGCTCACTGCACAGAACGTAAAGATGCACGGAGTAGCAAGAGTTAATGCAGCCCAGAGACGCCTGTATGAGTGAGACAGTCAGAAAGCAAATGACCCAAAAATTTGAATCCATGTTAACTGAGTGATAAACTATGAAAAAACAAGTCGTGCTCTCATATTTTTGATTTAGCTATAATTTTTTTCAAAGTAACCTGCGTTTGACTAACTTTATTATTTTTTACTTAACATTATTTGATTTAAGCAATGTGAGACTTTACTTTTTGCACTGTTTAGCCTGTTGAGAATCAAAATGTTTTCAATCTGTTAAAGATCGGTTACTGATAGCAGGTAATATGAAGTGTTTTTAAGTTATCCAGGTCTCTCTTGTAAATTACATTTTGGATCTCAATGGGACTACCTGTATAAATAAAAAAATAAAATATCCTTTTGACTAAATAGTTGTTGCACTGTGCCTGCAAGTTATTTGTATTTTAGTTGCTTTTACTATTTTTTTAAACCACGTAGCCAGTAGCACTTGAAATAATAATTCAGCCAAGTCATGTGATCAGTATCGGTGATCTGCAACATAAAATCGGACCAGAGCATCCCTAGTTTATATACACCAAAGGCCTACAACCCTGTTGCTCGACTCACTGTCCTGCTCCAATACACGATTCAAATAATTAAATTATCTATTCAAAATGTCCTGTTAAGCAGAAGCCTGTCAATCACTTGTTTATTTCAATAAGGTGTGTTGAAGCAGGGAAACAACTAAAACCTGCAGGACAGCCGGTCATAACAAACCTCTGATATCCATACAAATACATGCAGCTAAGTTACTGTGAGTGATCCGAGTCCCCGTCCAGACACGGCGCTAAAATCCTCCCCGAGTGATCCAATTGCAATCAGACAGCAGTAAATACAGGTGTGAGCAGCCTCAATGCCCACTGAAATGACCCRGTCCTCTAAGAGTTAAACTGTGATTCAAATTGTTCTGAGCTTTTTTTAATGTTAATAATAATATAGTTTAAATGTCTGAATGTGGTCGCTTCAAGCGAAGATGTCTGACCTGAACAGGCCTAAAGGGTTCGTCCTCGGCACCCTTCCATCTGGAGAACAGCAGACAGACKATCTTCTCGATATCGTTGCGCGGCCAAAGGATAAAATCCATTTCCTGTGTGCAGCCTATCACATCCTACGAGGAGAAAAAACACCAGTCTATTAACCTGTGAATATGTTTTTTTTTCTCATCATCATACCGTTTTCTTGTCAGATGGTTCAGTCTTACCCTTCGCATTGACTGGTATCTGGGGGCGTGTAGTTGCACAACATCTTTTTGCAGGAGTTCTATTGAACTTTCAAGAGAGTAGCTCGAATCGCGCACACCTCTTAGGATGTTTTCTTCATAGTTGTTCGTCATCACAGGCACCACTTCAGCAACCTCAAAAAGAGCAGACTTCTTCTTCTGTAAAAAAAAAAAAAAAAAATCACATTTACGTCTTTTTGACATAGTCAAACAATCGTAAGCAGATTTTAAATGTTAGACAAATGTAGATACGCTATGCAAACCTGTTCTTTGAAAACGAAGGCTATATAAATCTTGAAGTCAAACTGATCAGCCAAAGATTCCCTTTTCTTTCTAAGTTGAGCTCGAAGACGATTTCTGGTTTGGTTTCTTCGTGAAGTTGGGTCCCCCATGGTTAGATTTTGTTAGTAGTGTCTTTACGTCTCGTGTTGTCCACTTTAACGACACCCTCTAGTCTTATACTGGCTACGTTTGGTAAAAAACGGAGCTAATAATACATCAAAACTCAAATCTATATTTTAATTATAAACTGAAAAACATCAATAAATCAGCAATAAAACTAAGTCATTTTKATTTTTTATTTTTTTCTTAGATGGGGGAATGATCCAAAGGCTAAGACTACATATCCTTGATCAAAATTCAGTATCTTAAGACATGACTTTCAGGCCAAATTGTTTTGTTTTTGTCCAACCTGCCACTTTAAGAATTACAAAAAAAAAAAAAAAAAAAAAAAAAAAAAACAAAATTAAAGGAAACAACTTAGATGTCACTTTTTTATATACCTAAATGTTATCAAAACCCAACGGGAGCGGCCACTACCACGACAAACACATGCTGGTACTACTTTTACTTGTGAGATCGTGACCTACAACAAGCAGACACATATTGCGTTAAGCGGGTCATTTCAGAGTCCCTCATCCATGGCTGTTTGTGTGTTTGTAGACTGCGTTATGAGCGTGTTACAGACGGACTGGGCATACGGACAAACATGGCAGGTAAACAACAGATGCCAGGAGATATTGGCACCGGATAACAACAAAGACTAACTGCGAAAGTAACTCGACATTTCCTCAACTTTTGTTGTCACTCTTTCGGCCCAGGGCCTGCGGCGCTGCCACAGCTGATAGTCATGATGTGGGCGTATTTTTAGCACACTTAAAAAGTGAGCTAATGGTTCATTTGTGACAATAAATGACAAAAGCTACATCTTATTTTTTTGTTATAAATTTGTTTAAACGAGGCTCATGTTCTGTCTGTCATCTTTCTTTCCCTCTGTCGCGTTTACATGTTCTCGCTCGGTTTTATTTACTGTGGCTACCAGCGCTGCTACAGACCAGACCAGCAATGTTTTGCTGCCTTAACTGTTTTTGCTCGTGCTCGGCATTTCTGCTCGATAAAATTTAGCCTTTTCAGTCGCGCCTCGTCAACATTTCTTCAAGAATAAAGCCCGGTAATCAACAGACGGCCGATAACCACCACTGTGAGGCGAAAGTAAATAAAGTTGACTAAACGAAATCTCTCCCTGTCCACGTCTGAAGTTTCGAGCTGCTGTTCTCTCTCTTTTCTTCAGTCGTCACAACCTCCGGCTCGCCCTGCCGCATGCCATGTCAAGATAAATCGACAATCCAGCGGAAATCCTCCGTTCTTTCAGTCGACGTGTAGCGTGTTCTGTCTCCCGGCGGGCCCATATTTAACGACGTGTCGTCCCGACGTTTTTCCGTTTGGTTTCTTTGTGTGTTTTCACGGCACGGCACAAACAAGCTCGACGCTCTCCACAGCCTTCCCCCAAAATGGCTGCGCAGACAAACAACACTGACGTGACGTGGATGGGCACGTGACCGCACGAGGGGGAMAGTCAATCCTTACTGGTGATTGGCGAGCGTACCACGTGACAAAATGGGCGTATTTAAGCCGCTGGCGCGAGATCTTTACTGAAGGAGTCGCGCGATCGATGTATTAGCTACGAAAAAGGTGAGCTTGTGACTTTCAGCGTCGTGGAAAAAGTGTTTTAGTTTAACTTTATTCTCCGCTGCTGTTTATCAAAGTGCTGACAAGGTTTGTAGTCTAAATTAAGACTTTTATAATAACTGTCTGGTGACGTTTAGCTCAACACTGGCTATGCTGGTTTCCTGAATTAGCTTGTGTTTAGCATTACTAGGAAACACGTTCAGTTAGCCTTGATTACAACCACGTTTCAGATGGAGTTTTGCAAGCAAGGCTGTACTAATGAGCAGATGCTAAACTTATTTTTGCTTTATGTTTCAGGTTAAACAAGTGTTCTGTGTTACACTTTTTAGAGCCCAGAAAATGAGTGCCACTGGAAAACAGAGTCAGAAGTCCAACGAAAACATAATGGTAAGTGATTTGATTTCATCTTGAGCTGAGTATTAAAATAACTTTGTTTTAAAATGTAATACAAACCTTGACTCAAGTTAGGAAGGAAGCACTTAAGTCTCTGTTAATGCTTTGAATCACAGTAGGTACCACTTTTATCAACAAAAATAGTTTATTAAACTCTATTTATAGATTATGCACTGAATATATGGGCTATTAAACCCTTTGAACAATGGAATATGAACTTTACTGCTCTTTATAAAGTATAGTCACAAATCTTGAAAACTTGAGGCACACTTTCATGTTTTCACTAATGGCRTTATCCATTCTGTTGATCAAAACTGGTCTGATGGCTGTTTAGGCTAATTTGATCTCTAATATTTAATGAGGGGTTTCAGTGTTATTTACACGTTTCTAAATAAAGAGAAATGGACTGCCTCACTAKTCTCAATAACATGACCACTGGTGTAGCTTTTTCCTCTTGAAATAAACAACTCCTTGTTAAAATCACTAAAAGATGACTTTTTATATGGCTCAAGCAATTCTGTTTGTCTGGTAAAACTTTAACTTGGCGTTGTTGGCCTTTCTCTAATTTGTGTTTAAGAAAACTTTCCCACGGCTGTTAAGATGGTCTGTGCTCTTCTCTTTTTCACACACCTGTGCCCCTGCTGCAATGTTGAGACACCTCACTTAAGGCCTCTGCCATGGTGACCGTGTAACTAAAGTAAAGGCTGTGAACTGATGCCAAGCCTCTGCTGAATAGAGACTATGAAAACGAGAACATGGGTCAAATAAGTCTCCTATGGGACTTAATCACAACTTTCTAGAGACCCAGTATAGGATAGGATCTGTAGCTGCTGCCAGTGCAGGAGTTAAAACTGTTGGTTTATGCCTTTTTTGCAGAGCTTTTTTACAACATCACAAAATAAAATGGGACAACCCAGGCAAAGGCTGCAGGTCCTCCAACCCTCAGCAGTCAACACAAGTTTGAAATCAGCTCAGGTATGTGATTGCTTGTTAAAGGAACMGATAGTAATGATTGCATCAGTAGGATAACAAGTTAAAGTCCAGTGCAATGTATGATCTAGTTTTTAAATAGGTTGTTTTTTATTTTTATTTTTCCTCAGATGGGAAAAGGTATTCCCAAGCGGAAGCAGTGGATGCCTGATGAAACTAGAGGCCCCAAGAGAGTAAAGATGGAAGTTAAATCCACACAAACAGAGGAAACTGATTGTTTACCAGATGGTGTCTCCAGGGAAGCTTATGACCTTATGGTCAAAGGTACATATGTGATGTATTCTAATTTATATTTTTTAATATTGCATGGTTAAATTTTACTTTTTGCCTTTGACTGAAACTGCTGCGTTTTGATCGTAGAAACTCCACCTTCCTCTTACTGGAAAGAAGTAGCCGAGGAGCGTCGTGAAGCCTTGTACAATGTCCTCCAGGAGAATGAGAAGGTGAGTTAATCACTAAGAGTCTGCTAATGTTTAGCTGTTTGAGTCGTTCCCACGCTCCCCCTAAATTGACCTTTTGTAAGCCCTGGTCCAGCTGTCAGTTAATCAATTTTAAAGTAGCTTGTCCCCAAAAGACTCTCTGATAACGTGAGTCTATAATCACACCCAGTTTTTTTTTCTTCCCACTGGGGTCAAAGTGTGATTGTAGCTTGCATTGCTTCTATTGACTTCACATCTTTGTCAAACCTGTTGTTTTTTTTTAAATAACCTTTTGCATTTTATTCCTCTTTGAAACCAGTTGCATAAAGACATTGAGGCCAGAGATGAGCAGATTAAACTGCTTCAGAGTGAAAACGAAGAGCTGCAGGACTTGGCACAACACGTTCAGTACATGGCCGACATGATCGAGGTACGTTACAGCTGCTGATCACACTGAGAGAAGCAGCAGAAGAATGTTGCTTAAATGTTTAGTCTAATTGAGATATCTGAACCCATTTTTTTTTTCCTTTTGGCCTGCCTCTTTATTGTGAGGCTTGATCTGAATTCTGGTCATAATGAAAGGACTAGAACAGACTTAAAGTATAAAATTTCACCTCGAGTGATTTATTATCCTAAAGAGCAACAAATTACCTGAATCGGCCAAATAAAACTGGATTTCTTTGACATTTTGGAATTTAAAATCTGTAGTTTTGAATGTAATTAAACTTGTAATGTCTGAGTCTCCATAAACTACGCATTTATTTTAAAGAGGCTGACTGGGAAATGTCCTGACAACCTGGGAGAAATGAAGGACATTGCTCTTGATGTGGAGGAGAAACGGGATGAAGATGAGGATGAGGAGGATCTTGACTACAGTGATGAATATGAAGAAACCCCAGACCAGGAACAAGCAGGACCCTCAGGGGAGCAGCATTAACCACAGAAACCTGACTGCAGATGGTTCTTCATCTTTAACATGATTTTTTTACAAGATGACATTTTTTCTTTTTTGGACATTTGAAAAAGTAAAGGTTGCTTCTGGAGAGTTTTCACTGTAAACGGCCATTTCTAAAAGGCAACACTTTTTATGTAATTTATTAAATGAAACATTCTTGTTTGGCAGAGGAGTCTTTGACAGGGATTTACGCTTGATGTTTCTGCTGAGACAAGATGTTGGCTTAATGTACAGGAGAGTGGCTTCATGGATTTACAGTTGTGTACAATAAATTTTATGTTTTCTATCTTCTTCACTCTGTTTACTTAGGTTAGTTTGCTTGGAGGACTTAAAAGCTACAACTATTCAAATTATCTGTAGCGAAACGTTACATTCGTACAGTGAATCAACATTAAACTCAACTTCTAAATCTATGCACCTTTTCTGAAACAAGATCTTCAAAAAAAAAAGGGCCAAAATTATCTGTGCAAGAGATGTACTTTTTGGAATGTAACTTAATGAGTCTGCAGCTTTTAAAGAAACAAAACAGTTCAAATATGCAAAAATAAACTTTATTGCAACATTTGAGCACAGGAAATGCTGACCACAGATGAGTTAGGCGGTTCAGTGCAGAAGCCGTTGACCACAGATTAATTTCAGAAAACGTTCTTGTTAAAAACGAGTTTAAATATGTGCACATTATACCAGCTTGTTCTTTACAGTGATCAGGACTCAACGTTGCCCACTAATCAAACACTGGTCAGCTGCAAGTTCATAAAAGGAAATATTGCCTACATAGTGGGTTAATTTAAATACTAAAATACTGTAATGCTATGCACAAAAACAGGAAATTAAAACATTTGCTTTAAGTTTAAACCGTGTTTTGCAAAAAGGCTGTATAGAAAAACAAATGACAAGTTTAATATCTTCACTCATTTACAGGTTATATTACAAGGAAAAATAAAACTACCCCTTAATATGGCTTTGAATTGGACTGAGAAGTTACACCCAAATGTAACKAGTTTATCTTAAATTGTGCTTCTTTAGATATGTTTTTCTGGCTATAATGAAAATACATTCTCCAATAAAAGAAACTTAATTTTAATTTCCTTTGGTTACAGTAGTTCTACTCAAAGATTTAATGTATGGAAGTCCAAATACTTATAAAAACTTTAGGGAAGAATACATTTGATACCAAAAAACTGTTAGCAAATCTCCAAAATATTTAATCTAATACACTTCCTTTMAAATAAAATCCCAGTTGAAGTAAAAACATGACAATACTTTTAACATAATATACAATAAATTCACATATCTGCTCTAATACAGTAAGTTCAAATAATACAATTAGAGTAAATAAATAAAATGGGTTATTATGAAGATGTTAGTGTGCGTCAGCACCAGACTCAGTAGTACAGTTTCTGTAAGAAAAGTGGGAATTGGACGCCGGTTTTCGCCACGAGATCCTAAGAAAACAAATCAGACCCAAACAGATTATTCTGTAATAAAAAACATTTATAATCTTATTAGCTCATGTGTGTCTGTACAACATTAATACTCAGCAGATCCTCCACTATGAACACACAGGAAGTGCATTTTCAGGGAGTAAAATCAGATTTACTGCCCCGCAGTGGCTCCTTCTGACCGAGCAGGAAAAGTATATTTACAAAAAAAAAAAAAAAGTATCAGATCAAGGCTCAGGTGGTCAGAGCTGACAGTCACGTCTCACGTCAGCTCGATGCAAACAAGCAAAAAGTATATGTACAAAAAAATTGCACTTATTAAACTGCAAGCATGAGAAACGTCAGATGTAAACTGAGTGAGGAAACCRTATTTACAAGCTCTCTACAGCAGTGTGCAAGCTTCTGAAAAACAAAATGCTTCAAATAACTCAACCAGATATCAGGGTATGTGCAGTGGTGCTTTAAAAACAGGATGTTCCCTCAGTCTCTGCAGCAGCTTTAGGTCCAAAATCCAGTTTCCATCTCCAGTTTGACCCGTCTGGTGTGTCTGGCTCAGGAAGCAGGCGGAGGGGAACGATGAGTGTGTGTGCAGGAGGGCTTCAGGTTGTGTGTTAAGACCGTTGGTTTGGTGTTAGTAGAAGTTAAGAACAGGAAGTCCTCTTGGCTGCAGGTTAGAAAACACCAGGTTCTGGAGGGGTGGGGCTGAAGCTGCTCCCCAGCCTGGAAACAGTGCAGCTGTGTTTAAGAGGCGTCTCAGAAGGCGGTGGTGACGGCGTTTCCTCGCCGCGTGCCCAAACGGATCATCTCCCCCACGACCGCGTCCAGCTGCTCGTAGGCCAGCCGCCCCTCCTCGCCTGCAACGAGCACCGTTATTATCAACACTGCTTCAAACTGCTCTCATATGCAGGCAGAAAGGATTTTTTTTAGGTGATTGTTTTTAAAGTCCAGTTCAGAAATCTGAGAACGAGCAAAACGGCAACACTCACCGAACGTGAGCAGGGTTTCTATGGCCACGTGACGAAGCTCCTCATCAGCTGAGTCACACATCGCTGTGACCGCTTTGATACTCTCCACTGCCTGCAGTCACACAGAGGAGGTCACCGGAGGTTTTATATTCAAACCACACATTGATTTTCTCATCACACAGCAAAAGTCTGGAGTCGTCCCTTCACCTCTTGAGCCAGGCTTTCCTGTAGCTTTCAGCAATACACCACTCATTCCCACAGTGGGGTCAGAAGAGATTTTCTATGAGGAATTAATTTGTTTTTCGAACGTTCCCTCTTCTTATGAAGAATCAGGCCTGCAGTTCATCATTACACCACAAGAGGGAGCCCATTTACAAAACARACATGGAAGTATGTATAACAGCAAATTTAAAGTATTGAAACAAGTTGATGCAATTATGATTATTTAAATAATATAAAGTTTATTGATCTTATCAGCTGACAAACGATTAATTGATAAGCAGCCACCTGGAACCCATTATAAAACTCGTGGAGACAAAGCTTTTCAGGTGGTGGCTCCACGCTCTCCCTCTGTCCCTTCGCTGTTCAGATTCTACTGACTCTTAAGAAACAACTTAAGACATTTTTAATTCAGACAGACTTTTAGTTAATGTGCTTTTTACTGTGTTTTAATTGTTGTTTTTTATATTTGTGATCTGTTTTATTGTTTTTAGTTATTTTGCTCTCTG